TTAAACAAGGGAGTTACTTTTGCGACCTTTAACTGTGAAGGAAAAGATCCATTGATTATGCTAGAATTTATTAAGTGTGTTAGAGGTTTGGATATTATACTAGCTGACAGTTTAAGCAATCTAGGTCCAAGAAAGTCTATACCAGCAGATTTGTTTACATCAAGTCTTTTTAACATTTCGAATACCTTTTCTTCATTAATCAAAGGGATTTCAAAAAAGTCTTGATCTCCAAGTTTTGTCTCCGTGTATCTTTTCAATTTTTCTGATTTAAAAGCAGTAAACGAAAGATTATCTATTAATTTTTTTAGAATTTGGGCAAAATGCTCATTAAATGCATTTGCAATATCTTGTAGATTATCAAGATCTAAACCGTTATATGTTATATTGGAAGGAGACGAGTTTTTGTCTGATTTTGAGGCTAACTGATTTAAGTGGCCCCACATTTCCTTTGAAGTAGAACTATTTTCAATTACTTCCTTATAATATGTAGATTTTGCATTATTTATTAAAGATGTGACTTTGTTCCTCCAAAGTCTAAAATTATCCATGTCTCCCTGTTTATGAAATTGATCTCGAAAATTCCTAGCATTATTTATTTCTGGAGTTAACCATTTAGTGCGGAATTCTGATTTCACACGCTTTGTTTTTACTTTTGCATGCTTATTGATTATAGCATTGAAAATATCATAAAAACCGTTTAAAATGTCATTGGGATCATGCAGTAGAATTAATTCATCAAAATTTGCATTGTTTAAATCATGCAAAAAGTTTGTTTCATTAAAATTTTTGAAGTCACGGTATTGTATTTCAATATGTTTGCCTTTTCTTTGCATGCTGTTAGATCTTCGTGTGGCACATATAGGATAATGATCAGACATCACTACAGGGGGTACTGCTATTTCACATATGTTAGCAGGGTGCGTAGTGTAGAAATGGTCAATAAGAGTTTTAGAGCTATTAGTAATTCTTGTTGGGGTGTTAATTAATTGTGTTAATCCAAAGTCTACAATTGCAGATGACCAACTCCGCGGGGGTTCTTTAAGCATATCAATATTGAGATCACCTGCAATAATCACTTCCTGGTCGTCACAGCAGGTAGCGCACTGTAACTCTTGGACAAAATCATCTACCCAGCAGGAGGGGGCAGATGGTGGACGGTAAACTGAACAATAAAGTATAGGTTTAGAATTTTTAAGATTAATTTCAAGCCACATTGTCTCAATATTGCTAATTTCTAAATCCTTACGGCGTTTATATTTCAAATCATTTGAAATATAAGTAACAAGTCCACCACCAGCCTTTCCTACTCTGTCTTTTCTTTCCAAACAATATCCTTTTACATTTATACTACAATCATTAATATTTTCATCAAGAAATGTTTCACATAAGGAAAATATATCAGTGTAAAGCTGTTCTTGTAAATACAAAACCAATTCATCTAATTTTGGCATAATGTGACACACATTCAAATTAATAAAATGTAGGCCCTTTTTCATTAAACCAAGATTTGATTTACATATGTTTTGTTTTATTTCATTTGAGGTATCTGGTTTTGGAGAAGAATTTTTAGGATTTGTTTGTTTAAGATTCGAAAAAGTGTTTTCCTTATTAAAACAAGTATCTATCAGTTCTGATGTAAGATTTAAATCATTTGAGCAATTATTAATTAAAGAACAGGTGCAAATTAATTCGTTACAGTCAAAACAGAGATTATTCAAAGGATCAAAATAATTTTTGACATTGATAGTGGGACAGTTATTCGTATCACCGGCACAGCTTTCATTGCCGTGACCCTATCTGGTACAAAACTTTTGTTTGTGACCATGCTCACCACAATACCAACATACAACTTTGTTTCCATGTCGGCAGTTTCGCGAGGAATGGCCTTGCTCTCCACAGTAAAAGCATGTTTGCACAGATGAGGGCCTTTGTTGCTTAAGGATTTTCACATGGGTATTGTACAGCTTGAGAAGCAAGGAAGTACCGCGATCAGACAAATGAATGCCATCTCTCCAAAAGGAAGGGGAATTCCAGTGCTTGAATGATCCGCTGGTCTCGATAAGCGTAGCACCATACTCCTCACAGATATACTTTATGCACTCATTAATTTCAGTAACATCCGCATCACACCTTGGCATCACTTCTGATATGAACACGGAAATGGTATGATTTCTCCTCTTTAGATCTGCGATGATTTCAATGAAATCATTCTGAATCGCATCGATGTTGCGCAGGTTAGCTACATCATTACCGCCGGCCTGGATGATGACATTTTCGATGGCAGATATATCATATCTTTGAAGTTTTGTACGGATGTGTGATATGTTAGCACCACGATTAGTACTAACATTCACACTCGAATCTAAGCCTCGGGTTTTGATTCGTTGAAGAATAGAACTTCCGATGACCAGGGTAGTTTTTTGGGTTCGTTCTCTTGTAGAAATAAATGGAGAATTCGAAATCCTGGGGAAGTTTCCTCGTTCTTTAGGAGTCGATGAAGGCTGGCTCTCTCTGGAGGGATGTAAATTAGGACTGTCCTTTGTCGCCATCATTTTGTTTTTCTGTGTGGGTTGCGTGTTTTTCCATACAGAACTGGAATCCATGGTATCTGTTGATGTACTGGTAGTTTTTTTGTCAACACTAAATGAGCATTGGCTGTGTCGCGATATACCAGTTTTAACAGATATTCCTTCGGTCGATGTTGCCTTCTGTTTCATCTGTGTTCTCGGAGTCTGTGTGAAGGCGTTGGTACAGGCTTTTGTTTGTCGTGCATCCAAAAGCTGTTTCTTTAGAAGATTTACTTCCTGTGTCAGCAATTTAACAGTTTCAGAAAGAAGTTGTACATTTTCTGAGCTGCTACACTGGTGGCAATCTATCTCCACAATTGATTCATTTTGTTTTGAAGGTCTTGGAGTTGATGTGCAGCTTGGTTGATTGACAATAATCTTGCAATCTGTCAGAGAGTCATTTTGGCTGATGTCAATTTGACTTTTAACTTCTTCTAGAAAGTCATTTTGGTACCATTCAAATGCACCAGTCCCTTGAACGAGAACCGTATTTGTGTTCTTGTAAATAGTTACTGTTACTGAGTCGCACATTGATTTATAGATGCAACCATTTTTCTTATTATTTCCATGGAAAAGAAGCATCTTCTGAAGCACAGATAATACAAACTCGTGCTGCTGGCCATCATAATTTATGGTTACACTCTCTGCATTTAGTTTAACATGTAGAAAGTCTGGAATACTCACTGAAGGTGCAAAATCCTTTTCCTTATTTGTACCAATAAATGATTGTGACAGTCCATTAAATGAGTTCAAAATTAATGTAAAAAGATTTGAATTTTCACTGAGATCCATCATTTCTTTATCATTTTAACAAAACGTCAGTCAGTATTTGACTCAATGGTATGTTTTATTTGCTGACAAGGTCAGCGTATCGACCATAAAACTTGCGAACTGATGAGTTTAAACAAGACTGCTGATATTCTTCTATCATCAACTTGTTTGTAATTTACCTCGTTTTAGAAATTGTTCATGCAAAGAGCATGCCCTTGCGTATCGAATCAACTGAGATAAATAAACTCCGTATTTACCTCGTTTTAGAAATTGTTCATACGTAGAGTATGCTCTTGTGTATCGAATCAATTGAGATATATATACTTCGTATGCAGGTGAAGAAGGTATATTGCTGCATAAGTAAGGGAAGTTGACGATAGAAAAGTTAAAGTCATCACTTTTATCATAGAACTTGGTTGTTAAATTACCATTAATGTCTTTTTCAAGTAAGATATCCAAGTATGAAACAGATGTGTCAGACTCTGTGATATCTTCTATCTCAAGCTCTCCGTCTTTTTCATGTCATTGCATTTTGAGCTAAACACTTTCAAAAACGCGTGAAAGCGAGAAACACATACATGCATATATACATACACACAAATAACACGATTAAATGCTTACCCATTTTTGATGTAACAACAGTTGTATTCATTTCACAAACATGATATCCTATGCACAGGGACAAGACAACCTTAAAGGAAAAAAATAGATACGTTACATATAAATTTAAAGAAGACATTGTAATGATTCAAGTTATTGGATTAGGAAGCCATTTAGATAAAGATCAGGAATGGAAATCTGAATAATTGTTATGTATTTTCATTCACAGACGACATTGTTGTTTTAGAGGAACTTAAATACTGAATTGAAATTTCTTTTTTCAAAGAAAACAATTTTAAAGATGAAAAATTTTAAGAAAGGTAAAATCTGAGAACAAAAAACCCGTCTTTATATTGGGAAGTGTGAAAATTGGCGTGTTCTTCATTTTTTAAATCTCAATCTTAAATGAATTTCAAGATTGAAGTTAATAAAAATTAATTAATGTCCTTCGCTTGCGCGAAAGCGAGGAGACAATAAATCTCATTCGTCCGTCCGTCTGTCCGTCCGTCAGTCTGTCATAACTTTTGAAGGGTTAGGGCTTTAAAACATATGTAATTCTTGTGAAAGGCCATTTTATTGGATATCAAGAACATTGAGCTTTGACCTTCGAGTTTGACCTACTTTTTAAAAACTAAGCTTGGCCATAACTTTTGAACGGTTAGGGCTACGGCTTTCATACTTCACATATATAATACTTGTGAAAAGACCTTTTTTAAACCAACAACTTTTACCCTTTTAATTACCTTGGAGTTTGACGTACCTTTCAAGAACTTATCCTTGGCCATAGCTCTTGAACAGGTGGTGTTAGAACTTTCATATTTCACAATCGTATTTCTTGCGAAAAGACCATACTTTGGGTAATTATATATTCATTTTGAGCTATATTTGTTAACCCACCCACCCCTCCAGAAAGTGATACTTATGCGAATTTATGTGACTTTAAATTGTGCTTTTGTTAAAAAAAAATATTATGATTTAGGGATACATGCTTATTTATTTTTGTCTGAAAAAGGATAATTTAGAAAGTAAATTTGTAATCAGTGTTGTGGTGCAACCTGGAAGATGAGTTTGCTGGATGTTAGTTGAGTGATTAAATACATTTGATGTGGTCAGAACTAAATAATTTGAAAGGTGTGTTAAACACACAGGCGCCCGTTCCTCCAGTGTGCCCAATATTTTTTTAAACAGGTGTGAACTATGAACGGACCATAAGAATGTTTCAAATCACAGGAAAAATTCTTCCAGCCTAAACAGACTTTCAGTGTCACCTAGAGTCATGCCATATTGATTGACAGGTGATGCACGAGGATTTCGTGTGCAGCATGCATGTACAGAGAACGAGTTACTAGTATTCATTGCACAATAGTTGTAAATGGGTTGATTAAATAGAATCACAGAGTGATTATGACTTTGGCGATGTAAATAAAACGAAGAATGAGAATAAATACAAGTGATTTTTTTTTACAGATAATGTATTAAGGGGTTGCATCTCTCTCTCTCTCTCTCTCTAGATCTCTCTCTCTCATTCACGGCATCGTTTTCACAGACTTTACAAGAATAGAATAACTTAATAAAATAAAGAAAAACTTTTTTAAATTAATTATTTAATACACTGAAAGGATTATTGAAAACATAAATACTTGTCTGTGAAAAAAATGTTTTCTGTTACGAGAAAGCGCTCCAAAGTTATTGTATTGATTTCCTGTTTCTGCTACTGATTTTCGTATTTATTTTGTTTACTGATATTTCTCTTCTGAAACAAACGTTAAAACGATAGATCTACAATTTCTAAAAATAAAAAAAACAATGTACACATATAATTACTAGGAGTAAAAATGAAGCAGGAATAGTCATATTTATTTCTATAGATCAATCAGTTAAGAATAATTTATATATGTGCGTAGCGATATATGTATAGAACAAGTAAATACCCGGTATATATTAATTCCTTTTAATTATGTTACAACTTTATTTTAAAGTGAAAAAAATATTTAATTTATTTTTTTTTTCTTTTTAAAATGAAGGTTCAGCATACGTAAAAAATAAGAACGGAAATATCTACGAGTTCTATATAATAATACATGTCTCTTCATAATGCCAAAGACATCGGTGGGATGTTAATAGCGAAAATATGATTATACACATGCATGAATTATAAGTACTTCAACAGTCATTTAAAATGAATTAATTTTTAGCAGCCAATCAAGAATCAAAGCTAACAGGCTCCGCCCACTTCATTTGCATACCGTTTCCCAAAGCGTACCGTTCACAAAACGAACCGTTCCGTGGAAGAAACGAAACGTACCGTGCACAAAGCGTACCGTTCCGTGCACAAAGCGAACCGTTCCGTGCACAAAGCGTACCGTTCCGTGCACAAAGCGTACCGTTCCGTGCACAAAGCGAACCGTTCCGTGCACACAAAGCGTACCGTACCGTTCACAAAACGAACCGTTCCGTGCACAAAGCGTACCGAACCGTACCGTTCAAGTGGTGTAGCTAGCACGGTTTAGGGTCTGTAATTATATAATTATATATAGCGCCAGGTAATCCATGTAACGACATCCAGATACCCCATTTGTAATAACTATATACTTCATGGTCAGGTACTAGAGACTACATCATCAGCCCGGTATCTGGGTGTCGATATATCGGATAACTTGAACTGGAGCCAGCAGATAAGTCGGGTCACAAACAAAGCAAACAGCTCCCTCGGCTTCCTACGTAGAAATATACCGACCAGGAACCAGCAGCTCCGGTCAGCAGCATACAAAGCAGTGGTACGTCCACAGCTACAGTATGCTGCCAGCGTTTGGGACCCTCACTTGGTTACACTTATTAACCAAGTTGAGGCTGTTCAACGCAGAGCTGCAAGGTGGGTGATGTCAGATTTAGAAGAACATCAAGTGTCACAGATATGCTACAAACCTTATGTTGGCGAAGCTTGCAACAAAGGAGGGCAGATGCAAGGCTTGTACTTATGTACAAGATCGTGCATGGACTAGTAGCCATCCCTTCAGTTCAATTCATCCCCCCAAGTAGGACTACCCGATCATCTCATTCCCTCACCTTTCGTCAAATACAAACTACAAAAAATGTGTATAAATATTCCTTTTTCCCCTTACTATAGTTGAGCGGGAATATACTGCCGGGCAGTGTTGTCTCGCTTCCAGATGTTGAACATTTCAAACTAGAAGTGAGCAAACTGAATCACCCCAGACCTTAATCATATTATAGTGTTTTTACATCTTTTAACTGTGAATACTGTTTTTCTTAACTTTTTATCTTCACTAAAAATTTAATACTGTTACCTTTTCACCGCTTTGAAATTTACTTTTCTATACTTTTTTTTACATCTTTTAACTAGCTGCGCACCCTACTCAGAGTACTCAAAACTTGAGGGCGAGTAGTATCGAGAGATAGATAGATAGATAGATATTCATCCTTAGTCACAACCTATCATTCCGGATAATATAGGAATATAGTACATAGTCTTATATTTGTTGTTTCCTCCTCTTCCTTTCTTGGTGGAGCGATAAAACGGTAAGGTCATGGAAAATATTATGAAGTTGAATTGTTGCAATGTTTTATTTTTCCCACCCACCCTCCTTATGTTTTAGAACAATACTGTTATTCTTGTTATGTCATTGTGGCTGAAGACTGCCTGCTTGGTCCTGCATCCACAAGAACCTATGTCGCAATGATAATCGTGTGCTCCAATATTCCTTAATGGTGTCCTGCTTAGTCTAGCTTCTTCATCAACTGGTGTTGCGTAAGTGAATTCTGTATGATTGCGTATTGTGAAAAGACTGCCTGTTGGGCACAGCGTCTGCATCAACCAATGTCGCGGTGATGAAGTCTCCGTTTTACCTATACCTTGATGACTGCCTGTTGGGGATAGCGTCCACTTTAGTCTTATCGTGGTTGGAATTCAGTCCTATCGTGGTTGGAATTTATAGTGTTTGCGTATTCCGTCGCACTTCAACGCAATTGGACGAGTGCAACACATATTCTTACGCTCATTCCATTGTTTATTGACTTAATTGATTGATATTTGAAATGATTGATTGATTACTAATTGGTTGATTGACAAGTAATTGACTTGATTGATATTTGAATTGATTTATTGACTGATTGATTAACAATTGATTGATTGAATTTGATTGATTATGGCATTGGTGACGTTCATGCACTTGTGACCTACCCAGTGCATGATCCGCCCGATTTGGGTCGTCACATTTGTTGTATTGATTGTTGATTGTGGGGCAGCCATGTGGTAACAAGCAAAATAACATCCATGTTGTTTGTTTGATTTATAGGAAATATGAAATAATATAAATATTGCATGTAGTTGAGTGTTACATAGAAAATTGTCATCACTCGAAAACCATTTTCAACCTCGGCTGCACCTCGGTTAACAATGGTTTTCATGGGGTGAAAATTTTCAATGTTACACTCGGGTACATTCAATATTTATATAATATTAAACTTCCATGTAAATTAGTTAAATCTGATTGGTCGAGAAACATTTGTTTGAAACACTGTTCCCCAAAGAATAATGAAGCCCTGCCTTCCAGCGTATCATCAGTCAGCAGTGCTTGACGACGGGTGATATTAGTGTTTTCACGCGTTTCGTAGTATAGCGGGAAAACATTTTATGATAGGAACGTATTTTATTGGATTTGCCTGTATAGTAGGCGTGGCCAAAGGAAGGCCAATGAGAAAACAGTATTCAGCAAAGTGTTCGAATCATTCTAAGCCAGTGCTCATCAACAGTGTTTGATTGTTTGTTTATTATTAACACTCAGACCATACAATGGTATATGAGGTACAGGAACATATTTACATAATTATATACAAAATACAAAGTCAAGTGAGGAAAGATACACACACACACACACACGTGTTTTTATTTTTTGCTTTATATATGATGTATATCATGTTTGTATAAATATACCGGTAATAGAAGAAACAATACTGTTGGAATGTATTTTAATGTTCAGGCATTTTTAAGTACTGCACCGAGTGCACATTCGGCATTCTCCCTTGAGACATTATTTACATAGCGACGGACACAGGTTTTCCATAGTTAACCGTCTATGGTTTTTGCCTGGGCGGTTTTTGATGTCTGTGATAGGGGTATAATTTATTACACGTAATATAATTTACAGATAAATTTCAGTGCTCTATTGTTTCACATACAATGTAATGTATGTTTATTATTTATGTATTGTTTTCAAAAATAAACGCCAGCTGCTCCACTAAGCTAGCCTGGCTTACAGCATAGTTGTTGTATTATTTGAGATATATTCTTTCAAATAATGAGTGGAGATTACACTCTAAAAAATAGCAACTGTGCGTAATGTATGCGCGTACCGTTCACCATACTTTTCGACAGGTATCATTTAAGCGTTATCATAAAGAGTCTCCAGATTATTCCTACAGCCTAGATTGTTACACCAAACGAAAATCAGGCCCCGAAAATCAATTGATCAAAGTGTTCGCAAGTGTAGATGAAAATCTAAAAATTTGATTGAAGAAAAGGATCAAAAGATCAGTGAATTTATTCCAATTATTCCCGACCGAGAAAAAAATAACCCTGAGTTTGAGAGTTTTTTGAAGGAACAGCTGAATGAAAATTTGAGACTTTTTTTTGGTGTCAATCAGATCAAAATCCGGGGATAGTTTGAAGGTACCAGTGGCGGATTAGGGGGCGCCCCCGGCGCGCGCCCCCCCCTAAAATTGTCAAAGTTAGCGTAAATCAAATATGTCTACTTGGTAGACCTCATTTTAACCCTTCAAAATCTCTAGAATCCAGGAGCTTCCGGGGGCTTCGCCCCCTGGGCCCCCACCAGGGCTTTGGTAGACCTCATTTTAACCCTTCAAAATCTCTAGAATCCAGGAGCTTCCGGGGGCTTCGCCCCCTGGGCCCCACCAGGGCTTTGCCCTGGACCCACTGGGGGCCTCAAGGCGGCCCCCAGACCCCTTGCCTAATTTTGGCGCCCCCCCTAACTCCAAATCCTTGGATCCGCGCCTGGGTACTGTTGTGAGATGTGTATTGTTTCATCTTGTATATTATTAGTAACATTAAGTTTCTTGAGCATTCCAGAGTGGTCAATATGTTGGTCATTTTTTCTAGAACATTCTTGAACTTTGTTTATGTCTAGAACTTTCCAGTAATATCATGTATTTACAATTTCTAGAATATTCTAGATTTATAATACTGTATAAATACCCTGTCAATTCGATGCATAAATATACTTTGTAGTATAAGCACTAT